CTGAGTTACCGTTTTTGGCGCTTTTTGCCCCATATCTTCGGAACGGCTAAACCTGGCTTCGCCAAAAACTAATCAGCACGTCTCCTTATCAATACAATTCGAATGTTTTTTGAATTATTCAAATCGCTTCATCCGAGTTCTCAAAATCGTCGACGAAAATTTACACATACATCCTTTTCTAATTATAAGATATGCCAAAATGTTCAGAGGAATTTGAAACGTAAAAATATATAAAAATTTTCATTTTCGATTTTTTTGCGATTACTATAACTTGCCCTACGGGAAGTTAATTAAGTGGCGCATGACATCGTGCCTTGAGGAAAATTGCTGGAACTTCCTGTACCGTAATTTAATCTTTTCAAAAACATTTTTTTTTTATAATTTTGAAATTTTTTGAAAATTAAAGATAATTTTTGACCGCCATGGCATTTTTTAACGTTTTTCATTGGACCTCCAAAACCTGTCTTCCTAAAATTTTAAACAATTCTTCCCTCCATCTATATAAAAATGTTTATTTTGAATCATTCAAATCGGACGCTTCGTTCTCTCAAAAACTGAATTGCCAAATTTTGCACTTTTTGTTTCGTATCTTCAAAACGGCTGGACCAGCCTTTGTCTAAAACTAATGAGCACGTCTCCCTGTCAATGAAAATCAAATGTTTTTTGAATCATTCAAATCGGCTGATCCGTGCTCTCGAAATCGTCTACGAAAAAATGTATCCGCACACACACATTATTTTTTTCTAAAGTATGACAAAATGTTCAGGAGGTTTTGATACGTAAAGATATGCAAAAAAAAATATTTTTATTTTTTTTTAAGTTACCCTACTAGAAGTTATTTATTTATTTATATTTTTTTATACCAATCTCTAGGATTATTTCACAAAATAAGCTTCTATGCTTTTATATATATCATATTACTATTATCATATTATTATTATCTAAATATGGTATGGAAATTCAGAAATCTAATTGTACAAGATGTTTTAACTTTCACATCGCCCACGACGTGGTATTGCACAGCGCTAAAAATTCTGAGCAACTTTTGCTGTTATTAATATGCACATCGAGAATAAAGCTAGTGGTGCATGGCATCGTGCCTTCAGGCAAATTGGTACATAAAATTTTGCCACACTCGTAATTAATTTTTTTTAGAAAAATCCTTAAAAGTATTTGAAAATTTAAAAAAAAAATCGATTTTTGAAAAAATTAACCCTTTCCACTCGCGAATTGCAAAATTAACATGTATTTTGCCGCCGGAGCGGTGGCATCCGAGTGGAAAGGGTTCATTTTCTTTTTTATATTTTGAAATTTTTTGAAAAGTTAGAACTATTCTTTTTAAAGCAATAGCGTTGTTGCAAAAATGTTGTGGGTGGCTAAATGCTCAGAGTAAGCGAGGCAAAATGAAATTTAAAAAAAATCTATAAAATATCTGATAATTTGATGTGCATATATTTGATGATCATTTTTGACTGCATATTGGAATTTTTTATTACTTTTCTCACTCCGAAAACTCTAGACCTGCATCCCCAAAAATTTAATCTGTTCCTCATCTTATCAATACAAGTAAAATGTTCTTTGAATCATTGAAATCGGACGCTTCATTCTATGAAAAAGTGAATCACCATTTTTGGCACATTTTGCCCCGTATCTTCGAACTTTTTAATATGAATCGAATGCTTTTTGAATCATTCAAATCGGTTGAACTGTGTTCCCGAAATCGTCGACGAAAATTTGTATCCGCACACACACATCCAAGGTATGACAAAATGTTCAAAACCTTTGAAACGTTAAGATTATGAAAATTTTCGATTTTTTTTGCGATTACTATAATTTACCCTACGGGAAGTTAATTTGATATATTTAAAAAATAAAATTATCCAACAAATGGTTGCTAAGTATTAAAATAATTTCAGATAAAATCTCTAAATTGTTATTTCGAATAAATCTCTAATCTCATCTACAAGTATTGCGTTGAAAATAAAATCCAAAAAAAAAAAAAAATATGAAAAATTTACGATAGATAAAACCAAAAATAAACACAAGTGAACAAGAAATTGTTAAGCAATAAATCGAATTGAAACAATGGTCTGTAATATGACCAAGAAACATAATTGCATTGATAAATCCTTATAATAAGCAGTCAAAAAGAAAAACGTATTAAATAAATATAAACCGAATCGTTTAAATTGCTTGTTAGAAACGCAATAAGATAATTGTATTTGAATTTATAAAATGAAACAATATGTTGTCAAAAATTTCGAACAATCGAGTTCGCACGATTAAACAAATTTGTTTTTAGTTCATTGAACCGATATTTAAATAATTATTTAGCATAGATAGATTTGCAAATATATACTAAGATTTTACTATGGAAATATGTAAACCTAATATAATATAATATATAATACATACAGGGCAAATATAAATCAAGTTAAAACAGTAATAATGATATATAAAAAATAAAAGATTTGACTCAGTTCTTTTATAAAGCGTTATAAACAAATATTATATAATATACAATAGTTTAATTTTCACACCAAATAAATCAATAAAAAAATCCTAACACGATCAAAATTTATTTTACGAAATTATATAGTCGTTATAAGAAGATTGGCATCATGAGCTAATCATCATTTTTGATTAAAATTGTTGTTTGATCGATTAATTTGAACCGAAGAAATTATATAAAAATTGTTAATTTCATTTGAAAGATAAACATTGTGAATTTTTTTAGATAAACATTCTATATTCATTCCTTAAGAACAGAATGAGAATAATAAAAAATATATATAATTATAATTTTACAAAATGTTGATTTCAACTAGAGAAGAACATTATATATACATTGAATAAACATTAGATTTTTTTTTAAAAACAGTAGGAAAATAATAAAGAAATTAAATCAATTAATAAAAATATCAACTTTATTTGATATCGATTACTTAAGAAAACTAGAATAATAAAGAAATTAAAACAAATAAAATTAATATTTAATATTAATTGAAATGTTTATTTTATCTGGAAAAAACATTTTGTGATATCATTTCCTTAAAAACAATAAAAAAATTAAGAAAATAATATAATTAATAAAGATGTTAATTTCATTTGGAGGACAAACATCATGACATCCTTTAAAAATATTTGATATCTTTTTCAAAAATACAATAAAAGAAAAATAATATAATGTTTAAAAAAATCAATAAAAATAAATAAAAAAATCTCTTTTTTTGAAAAAAAAGAGAATTCATAAAATTTAAAAAATTGTTAATTTTTTCTGAAGACAAACATGATGATATCCTTTTCTTAAAAATAATAGAAAAATAAAGAAAATAATATAAATAACAAAAATGTTAATTTTATCTGCAGAATAAATATTATAAAATCCTTTCGAAACATATTTGATTTCCTTCCTTAAAAAAGTAGAATAATAAAAAAAAATAATAAAATTAAAAAAATGTTGACTTTATCTGAAGGAGAAATATTATAACACTCCTTAGAAAAATATTTGATATCCTTTACTTAATAAAAAAAAATAGATTTTATAATAATATTAAGTTTATTTGTAGGACAAACATCATCCTTTATGAAAATATTTGCAATCTTTATTAAAAAAAGCAGGATAAAAAATAACTATAATGTTAATTTTATTTTGAGGGCAGACATCCTTTGAAAAAATACTTGCTATATTTTTTAAAAAAAAGTAGAATAATAAAAATAATAATAATAATAATAATGTTAATTTTATCTTGAGGACGGACGTTAGAACATCCTGTAAAAAATATTTGATATCTCTTTTAAAGAAAAAAGACAAAATCAATAAAAGTGACAATTTTATCTCTATAATAAACACTATGATTTCCTTTAGATAAAAAAATGATTGCCTTTCCTCAAAAAAGATTAATAAAGAAATTATTAAAATTAATAAAAATGTTAATTTTATCTGGATGACAAACATTATGACATCCTTCAAAAAATGTTTGTGATCTTTTAAAAAAGTAGTAAAATAATAAGAAAAAAAAGAAATAATAAAATAATGTAATATAATTAAAGATAAAAATATCAATATTTTTTAAAAAAGTAATATAACAAAAAAATAAGTATAAAGTTAATTTGTAGGGCAGACATCATAATATTCTTTGAAAAAATACTAAATGCTATATTTTTCAAAAAAAAGTGGGTAAATATTAATAATATTGTTAATTTTATCTTGAGGACAAACGTTAGGACATCTATTAAAAATATTTGATTTTTTTTTTCAATTGTAAAATAATAAAATTATCAAAAATGTTAATTTTATTGGAGGCCAAATATTATGACATTCTTAAGAAAAATATTTGATAATAAAAAAAGATAAAATTATTAAAAATGACAATTTTATATGCAGAAAAAACACTATGATTTTTTTTAATATAAAAATTTGATTTCATTGCCAAAAAAATAGAAGATTAATAAAGAAATTATTAAAATTAATAAAAATGTTTAATTTACCTGGAGGACAAACATTATGACATATTCAAAAAATATTATTTGTGATCTTTTAAAAAAAGTAGTAGAAAAAATATTAAAATAAAATTAAATTAAATAAAATAAATTGTAATAAAATATAATAAAAAAATAAAATAAAATAAATTAATAAAAATGATAATTTTATGAGCAGGATAAGCATTATGATATCCCTTGCAAAAAACTGGTACCACCTTTCCTTGGAGGATAATAATAAAAAAAATACAATAAGTATTATTATTTTTTTCAATAAATGTTAACTTTATCTGGAGGACAAGCATCATGATAATCCTTCAGAAAAACATTGGTTAATTCATATTTAATTTTAAAAAAGTAGTAGAATGTTTTAATAATTTTTTTTAATTTGCACATCATTTTTTGAAATAGCACACGATAAGAAGGCCACTTAACTAGACTTTCCATAAACACTATACCTTAACATAAATCACAATTAATTTAATTAACCGAAAATTAATACAAAATTCAAAACTTACCGCACATTTTGTTTACGACAGATGTTAGATCGCCACGTAGTTCGAAAACTGATAACCGCACTATAGCAAATCACAAATGATTCTACACTGAATCGCGGAACCGTTTTGCCCCTACTTATATTGTCTTACGAGAAATGTCGACATTACAAAATGTGACATGTCTTGTATGGGGACTCTCACCTTTTCCAGAGATATGTGTATCCCCACTTTATAAACACAATGCCGTCCATTTTAATAAACAAAACCGTATTAATAGATTGTAAACAATCAATTGAAATGTCACTTGTGCAACACCTCGATACCGATTGTATATGCACATTCAAACGGTTGTTAGGGATCTAAATTTAATTCAAGTAAACAAACACACTTAAAACCGGAAGCGCGGAAAAAATATAATCACTTAATCATATGCATGTAATAAAATCATATAAATAAAATTATGAAGTTTTCTCACTATTTTCCACTTATTCCACTTCCATTTATTATCAAAATTATTTCTTTTCCCTGTTTCGGCCCGAAATGTCAATTGTCAACCTCCATTGTCAATGTGCACTAACACTTCCAATATAATATAAACCCATTATATTATCAACTTTACTTTATTTATTACATTATACTGAATAAATATCAATCCATTTTATTCAGTCTTATGATTTCTGTTTTAATTAACACGGCGTGATGTAGTGACTTCGGGTAACTCCATTTAACTTACACGCGCATGACAAATGTCAAACGAGTTCCGCGGATTCGACACAGATGGCGGCACGGTATCAGCAGATGAATTAAATGGCGCGTTATTTAAACTTGTTGCGATTTGAGAATTTGATATGAATATAGACATTCAGTATTGTGTTTGCTGTCTGGTAAATGACAATTTTATAACAAACAGATTTTGTTAAACAAAATACTCATAGAATTGTAATAACACCCTTAAAATTGTTAAATCATATATCATAAAAATGTCAGATCATAAAACCATATAAATTTCACTTGAAAATACCTAAAAATTTGTTCAAAAAATACCTATATTGTAAAAATACTTATTAACCCTAGAACTGTATCTGCATGCCTCCGAGGCGTATATGCAGACAAGAATGAATGGAGATGGTACTTTCGTTATGAAAATTTTGAAAAAATAAAAATACTATTACTTACTAAACTAGAGCTTTATATTTTCTGGAATAACATTTGATGATATCACAAAGTATACAATGATAAAAAACTGAACAAAAGTCACTTGTTAAACACAATACCATTCTAAGGTTAATTTATTTAAAAAAAAACGATTATAAATTTATTAAACAAAATACTTATATTATAAAAATTATTATAAATTAATTTAAAAAATGAAAAATAAATAAAGAATATAATAAATGAATTAAATAATAAACTAGTGGTATATGGAGTTGTGACTTATGGCAAATTTCTGTGAAGTCTTGTACCGTGATGAATAATAATAATAGTAATATTCAAGAAATATTAAATGTTTTTAAACAGATTATTATAAATACTGTAATTTTCATTATTCGTATCTTATAGACAAAATATAAGTTAGACGACAACGTTTATATATGTTTACATGAAAAGTAAATAAACAAAACTCAATCAAGCAAGACTAGAGTGAACAACCTTATCTCACATTTCTAAGAATGATATAAGCTGAATTGCAAAATTAATTTTTTTTTGTTAAGTATATAAGTGAGCTTTAGAATTTAAATTAAAATTCGAATCATGTTCGATATTCAAAGAAACATTAAATTTTGAAAAAAAAAACTTTTTGCCTTCCCAAAAAACTAATAGTTTTCTCACAAGCAAAATGTTTTTTAAATCATTTGAATCGGATGCTCTGTTCTCTCAAAAACTGCTATTTTATCTCTTTAAACGATTGGACCTGTCTTTGCCTAACACTGATCACCACTTCTTCCCATCATAACAAATTGATTGTTTTTTAAATCGTTCAAATCGTATGCTCTGTTCTCTCAAAAACCTAATTTGCATTTTCTGCACTTTTTGCTTTGTATTTTAGAAACGATTGGAACCATAGGTAGGAATCAAATGCTTTTTGAATCATTCAAATCAGTTGAGCGGTGGGAAAACGTCGAGAAAAAATTGTATCCACACAAACATACTCACACATTAATTTTTTCCAAGGTAAGCCAAAATGTTTAGAAAAATTGTAAACGTGAAGATATATGCAAAAATTTTCATTTTCGATTTTTGGACCATTATAAAAACTTACCCAGGAAATTAATAAAAAATATGAATAGGTAAATAATGAAGAAACTACTGACGGCTTGTAGATAAATAAATAAATAAATAAATAAATAAATGAAATGTAAAAATAAATAAATAAATAAATATATAAATAAGTGCTAGGCTGATTACAATTTCCGACACTTGTAAGTTTTATGTAAATACTCGCTTTTAAACTTAACGACTAATTTCATATAACAGTAGTATATTACCCATTAACACCTTAATTGCCACGATAATCAGAAAAAAATTCACATTGGTCACAGTCTTCATCAGGTAATTTTGTTAGAAATGTATCAAGAAAATATGAAATAATGTATCATAGAATACTTTTTTAGCCAAAATTTATGGGATAACAATTTTTTATGTCACACACATATGACTGCCATGGCAATTAACGTGTTAATTTGTTCAAATATAACTGCTATAATTGCACGAAGTGCCAGGAATTGATCTCAGTACCTTCTGCTTCCCAGTTGCTCGGTTTGCCATTTAGACCAGGCTTAAAAAGTATTAACCCAGTGAATTAAAAATTCGAAAAATTTGCACTTTGAACCAAAACTGCATATAATATATCGACATTAGATATTAAAGAAACGCATAATTTATTTATAATTTGATTAGATATTTGTAAATTCGACATAAATTTACCTAATGTACACTCTATTAATTCCTTTTTATTATAATATAATGTTTTGAAGTTTGAGAACTAAAACTAGTGATACTACTTTTTTATATATGTTCAATATAATATTTTGATTTAGAATGAAAACTAAAAATGTTTTTTGATTATTAGTAATAATTTCCTAATAATGTGACTTTTAAAAAAGCAAGCCAAGAGTTGGCCCACCTACAGCTGTATAAATTTATTAGTAGTATAACTCTTAATTATCAATGTCGAAAACACTAATTCCACTTGTAAACATATGTTAGATTTATATTTTCAAATAAAATGATATCACTACTGCGAGATAGGTATTGAATTCACATCTGTTATTAAATAAAAAATTTCTCATGTAAAATTTGATGAAATAACAGAATTAAAATTGTAGCAATCTACAGGAAAGCTGTGCATAACACGTAGTAAATTTAGGAGCCGCTTCTCGGATAAAATAAAAATATTTTGTTACGGGTCTATATTCGTATGAGTTGATAGTAATAAACTGTCGAAAAACTATGTATTTGCTGTGCGATCAGGCATTTTACACAAAAAACCTACAAAACGCACAAACGCCAAATATCAGATTTATCATAAGTGCAACTTTCTGTTGTATCTCGAGAACACATATATGGAGTTAGATTTTATGTGTAAAACGCCTAATTGCACAGCAACTAAATAGATCTTGGACAATTCGTTACTATCAACTCATACGAAGATAGACCCGTAACATAACATTACCATCACATTTTTATTTTATCCGATAATGAGCCCTTTAATTCAATTACATTATTAATATTAAGTACAAACATTAATGATGTGATATGATTATGCATCTCCGTTTACACAAAAATTTAATATTAAATAACAAATCAATCGATAATAAAGTACAAGAAGATGAAAATTATGTGAAAAGTTATATTTGCAGATCATTTTGTTCAGTATATACTAAAATATCCAATTTAAACGAATGCGAGCGATTTATAAATAGAGGGATCAAACGAAACAAAAAAGTTCGTACAGAGTTCACTTTTCATTCAATGTATTATTTGAAGGAAATTTGGCCTGGAATCAGTATCGTGCGTAGGCAAAACGAAGAGGGTCGTGAGCTCGAATGAATGAGACGAGGTTTAAAGACGAAAGCGTGGGTTCCGTTCGGCAGTACGCCCGCGGGTCGATACGCCACTCGCCAGGGTTGCCGCAATATGATTCGTTCTCAGGGGTCGGCAACCTTCTCCACACCATGATAGTAACAGATTTATGACGAAATACTGTATCTTTTCGTGCTTTTCTTGTTTCAAAAAACCACATAGTAAAAGTTTACATTATCTTTTTGTTAGCTTGGCAACTAAGTAAGTGCGGTTTTTAGCTTAGATGGTGTCAATTGAATTTTTAGGTTTGCTGACCTAGTCCAAATGTAAAATACCTTTTGTAAATTGATTCAGTAAAAAAGAGATTTTTGATCAATTGCGTAGTTTTCGTTTGGCATTCGTTGAAACATGGAAATTTCTATCAAACATTTTTGTCATATTTTGCTTTTTTGGCTCGCCCGTAAGTAAGCGGTTAAGAGCGATGGGACTTGTTTCAGAGGTCCCGGGCTCGATACCCACTTCGAGCAGCCTGTTGTCAGGCAACATTGACAACGATTTTCACTTGGAAATATAAATACCAATATGTTTCCAAGTGAAAATAGCCCTCACCCGGCATTGTTGCACCATACTTGCCCTATTACAGAGATTGTAATAAAAATTTATCATACAGAAATGTGACAACTGTTTGGGTTGCCATCTATAATAAAACAAACGTAGTTTGCAAGATATTAATCACAACAGTTCATAGAACCCATAAGTTCTGATCGCTGTTCAAATAAAATTATAAAAATATTTTGCTTTTTTATCTCTGCAAAGGTAATCAGGCACCTGAAGCAACACAAATCGTTATGAGCTGTTTATAGTGATAAGCCTTATAAAGACGGCAGTGTCAAATTGGTTTGGCGAATTCTGTTCTGATGATTTTAGCCTCAAAGGTATAAAACTGTCTGGTAGTCCAGTTCAAATTGATTTTAGAGAAATCGTCTACATTTATTCCTGCCACCTAACCAAACGATCAATTCTGAAATGTACATTGAACAACTATTGAAATTAAACAACCCAGTCAAAGAAAACCGGCCAAAATTGACATATCAAAATAGTGATTTTTTCCATTATTGACATCTCACACCTTTGGTCACTCGCCAAAAATTTTTGGAGCTTGATTAGTATGTTTTTTTATATCCTTCATACAGTCCTGAACTGGCATCTTTTGATTACTTTTTGCTTCGATCTTTACAAAACTTCTTGAATGGCAAACAATTCAATTATTATGATGGTGTCAAATTGTACCTGATTCAGTTTTTGCTAATAAAAACCAAGAATTTCATGAAAATGCAAACCCAAACGAAATTTATATTACAATGAAAACATTCAAATTTAACTTAAAATCTAAAAAAGTGGTTAAAACTATCAAAGCCCTGCCTGGCAAAATTTTGTACAGCGCTTAACCGCGCTGAGGCATCCCGGGT